TCAAATGAATGGGCTTTGTGGCAGCATATTGAATGATAATATTTGTATTTTGTTAAACAAACCATCAAAAAAAAAAGATGTGTGATATGATATATATATATATATATATATAGACATAATTACTTTTTTTGTATATGAACGGTCACAACCGGATTCGCGCTATTTCATGACAACATTACGGTTAAAAAGGTTGTTGTCGCGGATCATTATTACGCTTATTATTCTGCGGATCATTTTTTTGGCGATCACGTTATTGTCCTGCGAAATTGCGAAAATATCATCTCCGCAGAAATATCATGCTTCACGGTATTTTACACATTAAAAACTGTGCTAGAAGAGGGAACAATGCACAACAGTATGAAGCTTTGATCGAAAGTTATAATTAGGGGCATTTACTGTTTGAATTACTCAGTCTCTGATAGTGAAGAAGGGAAAATATTAATATTATATAGAGCCTTCATGCATGAAGATGGTACGATGATGGGCGCCAATATCCTCCGGGACCTTAGTTTTGCATGAACGGCGGGCAACTACAAAGCAGACCAGAAACCTAAATTGGATAAATGTAATAAAGGTTACCTACCTTCTCTTTCTCTAACGTGTGTCGTTTCTAGCATCTGAGTGTTTCGCAGTTTATTCCTAGAAGGATGAAACTGCTGGATGGTGCATTGTACTTTATTTTTGGCTTGCTGTTTCTATAACAATATTATCAAGGTTCATCAAGTGATGGATTTCTCATTTGAGAAAACACACGGTTCGTAATACTTTACACGTTATTACTAAGTTGAACTTTACCAGTAATCGTTTTATTTCTGATATTCCTATAATTAAGTTTTTTTACGCAATTCTCTCCCTTATGTTTCAAAAGTAGAACTATGTATAGACCAATTCATCCTCGTTACCCAGGGGTTTCGCTCACTTTCTTTCGCTCTCTACACCCCTTGAATATGCCATAGCAAAATTGAAGGGACGCGGATAGCTATTTGATTGGTATCAGATAAAACAAATACCTGACCAATAACTAGTATGGACTGGTCCTTTGAAGATTACAAAGGAGCGACGCCCGACTTCAAAGCCTGTCATTTTTAACCGTTTCACGACCGCGAGATTCCTTGGATGTACATGAAAGGACCAAAGTTGTTTTCTCGTCTCATCCACAAGGCGCTGCGCTTCAATTTTGCTATGAAATATTCCAGGGGTGTAGAGAGGGAAAGTAGCGTAACCCTTGGATATCAAGGATGAGACCAATTTGGATTTCCACCTTTCGAGCCCCTATCACCACCGATGAGTCCCAAAAGGACAAAAAGCTGCATGATGTAGTTGCATTGATTTTTGCATGCTGTATATATTTCCAAATTTTAAAGGTGCAGTCCCATGTTTGTCTCTTACGCTCATTTTTCAGAGATCGGAAAGCGGTACCATATGACATATGGCAACAGCAGATTTTGTGTTTGAAGGGTAAAGGTCATAACCAGTCAAAAACCTGTAAACATATTAGGACTTCATTTAAGTAAAAAGAACTGAAGATAAGGGCCACGGTTGGACGTGAAGCATTTTTGGAAGATACACTGCATAAAACTAGATGGCATTTTCGAAATTGTGCAACCAAAAGATGATTTGACGAAGAAATATTGTAACACTATACTGAATTCTTAAGGGGATTTACTAATTTGACTGGAGTGCGAGATTAAAAACAACCAATGGCGATGGAAATCAACAATAGATGAAAGATATCACTGGTCATCAATTAACGAAACATAAAAAGATGAACGCATCGCACACATGTGAGTACACCTATGTTATTTGGCAATATATACAGTATGCTTTAAAAGGAATTGCACCCCATTATACAGCGGTTTCGTTTTTTTAGGACTCATCAGTGATGCTAGGGTCCAGAAAGATGGGAATATAAATCGGTTTAAACAACTGAAAACAGAGAAAGGGATATGCGTGAAACTCCTTAACTATATGAGGTATGGCGAAAATGCCAACAAAATGAATTGCACTGTACCTTTCAGCTGTTTCGACATCCTAGGGAATATCAGTGATACTAAGGGCTAAAGAGGTTAACATCGATATCTGTTTAAACTACTGATAAAACAGAAATGGAGGTGTGTCAAACCCCTAGTTATATGAAGTGTGACGAAAATGCTCAAAAGGGATTATACTATACCATATAGTTGTTTTGTCCTACTAGGCCTCATCGGTGATGCTAGGAACCACGAAGGAGGAACAGAGTGTATCGGTTAAAACTACTGATAAAACAGAATGGGGTACGTAAAACCTCGAATTAATTTGAGGACAGAAATGCAAAAATGGGCTATCGGTGATGCAAGGGGCCAAAACGTTGTAGAAGTTTAAGGGAGGCGCGTAAAACCGTTAATTATAATTATAATGTAAATTAAAGTTCTAAAAGCCTTATAAAGTTTGGGACATTACCGAAAACGGAGGAAATCAGAACAAAACCCCAAGAGAATACCGAAGTGTCAACAAAATCGTGATTCGAACTCAAAATCGATAAAACTAGAGCAAAATATGAGACACTTGAACAAGAACAAAGAGAATAAGACAAAACGTTCCAGTAGGGTAAGCGGTCCATTTTTCATCGATGACACCCGCAAGGTAATTATAGGTCGAATCCATGTAAGCTCGCATCCTCACAACGAGAACATGGGTAGTGACGATAATGTGACTTACATGCCACGATTCATAGATTTCAGTTGTAGTCTCTGGTTGATCAGCAACAGAAGTAACATCAATCGCATGATATGATTTTGGAAGGCGAAGGAGAATAATGAAAGAGAAAGAAATTGTATAGCCGCCAAGAGACTTTTCTTTAGGTTTATAAACTAATGCATGGGTACCATGACACTTCTTTAACAGAAGGCTTTTTGACGATTGACGAGAACAAACGAACAAGAGGTTATAGTCTTCGATTTGAAAAAGGAATGTCTAAATTGAACTTAAGAAAGTATTCCTTTAAAGAAAGAGTGGTCAACCATTGGAATTTCCTGCCAAATCACCAACAATAAAAACGTTTGAAGCCCGGCTGGATAAACACTGTTGACAAGCAGAAATGTTTCTATAATCATGATCTTGACAAAAAGGAACTTATTCACTGTCGTGGCGTCAGTCTAGAGGCTGGCCTTACATATGATCTGGATATATTGGCTTTTGCCTGCGCCCAGTATTATTACATTATAGATTATTATATCACAGATTATTATTATAAGATGATTCCATGGCAGGGCAACAATTAAACAATGAAATCATCATGGAGGAGATTGACAATAGAATCATGGTGATTGAGTGACTCCAATTTATATAAATTGAAAGACTTGCCTTCTTCGAGATCTAATGGAACTTGTGGTAGGTATTGGAAGTTGTGGGTGGTAAGTATTGGAAATTGTGGTAAGTATTGGAAGTTGTGGGTGGTAGGTATTGGAAGTTGTGGGTGGTAAGTATTGGAAGTTGTGGTAGGTATTGGAAGTTGTGGGTGGTAAGTATTGGAAGTTGTGGTAAGTATTGGAAGTTGTGGTAGGTATTGGAAGTTGTGGTAGGTATTGGAAGTTGTGGGTGGTAAGTATTGGAAGTTGTGGTAGGTATTGGAAGTTGTGGGTGGTAAGTATTGGAAGTTGTGGTAGGTATTGGAAGTTGTGGTAAGTATTGGAAGTTGTGGTAAGTATTGGAAGTTGTGGTAAGTATTAAAAGTTGTGGTAAGTATTGAAAGTTGTGGTAAGCATTAGAGTAAAATGTACTATTGCATCAATCATAATGGCTCTACTATATAGAATATGATCAACGATTTTCTGATACAAGTAGTAACTTCCCTGTCAAGTGTTTTGCATAGACTTTGCGGCCACCAAAATGGACACTCATTTTGATGCTGTGCATTTCCAATTCCTACATGGCAACATTGGTAAAGCGTTCGTTTTTCGATGTAAAGGTCCCTAGTTCGATCCATGCATTTTCTGTTTCTTTTTTATTTCAATTTTCAAACATTCAAATTTCGAAGAAAAATATTCTGTAAAATACAACGCTGCATACCATTTCATTGTAATACTTGTACCCTGTAACTAAATTGTTATTTAAGGGGCTGTTCGGGGGGGGGGGGGGGGGAAATCTTTATTTGCTAAAATTGATTTATATATGTTTAAAATACTTCCTTATGAAAGATAGCGATTCAAATTTTGGTGAAATTAACTCCCTTGAAATAAAAATTATAATTATATTAACGAAATCCTAAATCGTCACCTGACAGTCTAAAAATCTCAATTGATCCACATCAGTGATGTAATATCACCGCATGCGCGTCATCAACAAGGCCATTGTAAACATCGCATCGGTGACAGCTTGATTAGATCATTATTTCAGGTTGTTTTTTTTTACAAAATTTCAATAATATATATATATATATTTATTCTAAGCTACAGTCGTACCGGGAAGAATTTGCAACGCATTGCTTCTATTTTGGCAGCATTACGGACGGGGAGCCTTAAGAAGAGGTACGTCATCAAACATGCACACGTTTCAAAGATAAAGATAACAACACAAGGTAATATACATATATATTGTTTTAATTATACTGTGATATATACAGCCGCATATATATATATGTATATATATAATAATAATAATAATATAAAACAATCATATATTCATAAATCTAACTTCTACGTACAACTTTATATAGTAACAATAATACTGTCATGGTGAAGGGTACATCATACGTCATTTCCTGCATTGTTTCAAAATTTGTTTTTAAATCTCTTTCTTAATGATTAGAAGCGGGTCACATTTGACAAATATTTATATATTTCTGAAACAAATTCTTAAAATTTTAGCGAAAGCTGTCATCCTTAGTCTTGTTGCCAATTGTAAGAAACGATGGTCTTTGTTTAACAATCTTCATCATATTGAAACACATCGTTCATGACATATCAATCTTAAACAGAACAACCGTACTTCATCCGTTCAAGGGGATATAACTCTAGCCGACACTTTCCGAATTGCAGTATATGTTTAATATTTCAACTCACATAAAAAAAATCCGAAGACCCTGCCTCTCAAATTCATACCCAAGCTAAGAATAAATCGTATATAATTGATCGTAAACAAAACCTAGTACTAATTTCAAAAATGTTAGTTAAATTTATACATTCCCCGTGGCAACGTACAGGCTTACAGCTACAGGCAGTAAGTCTGATATATAACATAGCTTTCTTAACTTAACAATTTATCGAATTCGTGATACGTATGAATTTATGATACCAAAATTCTGTGTAAATATAAAAATAATACTGTTAACATCCAACTCCCAGTTTAACACTCTTACTGGAGGGTCCTCGATACCCCAGGGGTTACGTTAACTTTCGCTCTCTGCACCCATGGAATATGTCATATCCTAGGGGTTCAGGGAGCATCAGTGAGCATAACCCCTGGAGTATCGAAGATGAGACTTGAGCAAACCCATTGGTTTTCATTAAACACTGTACAGAAATACATTGAAGAGTAACTCCTAACGAAAATTGAAAACATCAGAAGGTGAAAATTGTTTTTCATCATTGCATAATTTTCTGTAGCTCCATGACTAGGTACATTAGTTTATGTAACTTCTTTTTTTAACCTAAAAACATTTTATAACTACCCATATCAAGTTGTCGTTGAGTAGTTCCATCTTTACACACACTACTTCAATCCTTTGCGTAGGAAATCTGTAAACACAGAAATTTTCGCGGTGGGAAATAAATGCTCGCATTTTTTCGCATTGAGTAAATCAATCGAAAATATCAACATGCGAATATTCATTTATATACTTTATAGATGAAAGATATATAAGAATATAAAGATTTCAAAATCATTACCAATGCGAACATTTCCACAACGCGATCATTATCACAACGCGATCATTTCCACAACGCGATCATTTCCGCGATCATTTCCACAACGCGATCATTTCCGCGATCATTTCCACAACGCGATCATTTCCACAACAGACATTTACCACAATCAGATTACAATATAAGAATTATTTTACAATATTTCAACCCTAAAGTTGTTCTAGTAGACTAAATAATATTTGTTGGTGTTTTATACAGTGTATATATAGTGTATCGTGAACGGAAGACACTAGCACGAATAATCAAAGTGTTAACGCCTTCCATTAAATTACAAATTAGCTCAATATAAAGCAGATTGTTAAAAGATAGTTTAAAAAAATAGAAGTACTTTAAAAAGTCATGGTTTGATAAAAAAAAAAAAAAATGTATAATGAAACACGTTGAATATAAAAAAAAATCAGATGAAATGAAATAGATGAGTAAATAAAGAATAATTGATGAAAGGGGGACACTATTGTATTTCCTCCTTTAAATAATTTAATGAAAAAGTTTAAAAAGGCAAAAGTTAAACATACAAGGCACGTTTCAGAAAATACCAGGATTTTGTAATGAGCTACATGTAAATGTTTAAAACAAAATTCTCGTGTTCGATTTCCCGAACTTTTATGATAATAGTTGTTCTCTGTTCTGTATTTCTCGCCACTGCTGTGCCTTTACTTATCGAACATGAGCTAATATGAGTTGTTTGTTTTCAACCGCAAAAATGTGATAAAAACAAATACAACAATAGGGAAACTATCGTTTACCATCTCTGAAACCCTCAACAAAATCTCTCTTCAAAACAAACTTTGTCGCATTTTCGGGTATACACAAAGGAGAAAAATAATCATTTTTTATTATGACTGTGAGTCTACATGATAACTGTACACGTTAAGCATAAAATGTAAATCCTGTGACCACTTAATCTGGTATCAAACAGGTCCTAGAGAACACAAATAAATCGCATGATCTGGCAACGCTTGTAACCCATTGAGATAGGATTTTGAAGAGTAATTGTTCGGTTTGTTTAAGGTTTACGTCCTAATAACGGCTAGGGTTATTCAAGGACGTGCTAGGTTTTGTTGTTTGGGGACACCGGAGTACCCAGAGAAAAACCACCGACCTGCCGAAGGTACCTGAAGATTTCCCGACGTAGACCTTGACCGTGCAACAAGTAGGTCTGACTGTAACATGCATTGATTACTCAGCCATCGCGGCCCCGGAGCGTCATAGAACTCAAATAAGATTATTTACTGTTAATATGCTATTGACGTCATTTCTAATGCATACCAACAATGGGTAATACAATAATGTTTCAAAATAAGAAACATCAGCTGAGACTCATCCTTAATTGCATGCGCAACCTGTTCTTTCTATATCAATCAATATATCCACTAACAAGTTAACGAAAGCAACCTATTGTTTCCCGCTAACAAACGTATGACACTTGACACTTACCTATTGAGTTTTCAATAGCATGCTTTATGACATAGTGTTTGAGGCGGATTTGCCTTTGTGGTCATTGCCAAATAATGAAAATATAAAATAAAAAAAATATATGAGTTATTTCGAAATGAAAATGAAAAGAGTAGCTGTAATTATACAAAATGATCATGTCAAGATAGTACATTTTACAATAAGGAAATACTTTTGAAAAGTTAATACATGATGAAGCCAGCAATCTTGATTATCATTGCATGTTATACTTAAATTACATAATTTCACAACTAAGTTATTTTCTCAAATCATATATAATTTATGTTTTATATCATATCTAAGTTCATGTTTCGTTCATGTCTAATTTCCTATCTTAGTTTATGTCAAGTTTATGTCTAATTTCCTATCTTAGTTTATGTCAAATTCATGTCTAATTTCCTATCTTAGTTTATGTCAAGTTCATGTCTAATTGTCTACCTTAGTTCATGTCAAGTTCATGTTTAATTTCCTATCTTAGTTTATGTCAAGTTCATGTCTAATTGTCTATCTTAGTTTATGTCAAGTTCATATCTATTTTTCTATCTTAGTATATGTCAAGTTCATGTCTAATTCTTTTATTTTAGTATATGTCAAGTAAATATATATTTGTCTATCTTAGAATATGTCAAAATCATGTTTAGTTTTAAAACTTAGTTGATATCAAATTCAAGTCTAATTTACATTTTTGTATGTCTAATATGACATATTAGGTAAATCGTTCAAGTCTAATTTGTCTCCTATTTCATTCGTGTTTAGTTTATGTCATAACTATATAAAAGTTCATGTCTTAATTAATGTCTAATGAACCTTGCGTTCTTCCTCAAAATGTACGGATGAATTGTTACGTAAACATCAGCATAAAACGAACACTGTCATGCTTATGAAAACATTTTGTTCCATTATAGCATTTTCACATTCAGTGTCCAAGGTTTGTTTTCAAATCTTCATATTTGCGTTCAATAATCTGTTGAAAATGTCATATAAACTTAAAAAGGCGCGTAGAATCTTTCTGTCGACCTTATATTGGGAACCGCCTCCATTTTCCGTGAACGGGAGTATTATGGAAATTCCAAGTGTTCCTGATTGTGCACGACGGTATGGTTTGTGAAAATATTATGCTACCTGATCGGCATTTCTGTTTACGGAAAATACCGTTCCTTGGCATTTGGCATTTCTGTTTACTGACAATGCCGTTCCTTGGCATTTCTGTTTACGGAAAATGCCGAGGGTTCCCGATTTTGTTCGACGTTATGGTATGTGATTACATGTTATGCTATTTAATTCTGCGTGCTGAGTCCGGCACATCCGTATACAATGGAGGTGATTAGGGCCATACCGGAAGCTCCTGCTGCTAACCAGAATGACCAGGCATATTTGTATTCTTGGCCTAACGCAAGATCCTCTGACGTCACTACAGCATTGAAATCCTGGCTCGCTTTGATCCCAAATAGCGCCACTGCCACTCCGATGCACAGGACTGTAAAAAATGAACCGATTATATAAATCACTTTTATTTAGTTACTTTGACATAAGATATCGGTGTAATACATGTATATCGATACAAAAGTCTTATCATACAAAATTTGATTTATTATTGTACGTTAAACGCTGTCATTAGTTTGTGTTAACAGTCTTTACAGTGATTGACCGAAAAAAAATATGAAAATATGTTGATGATGTCATATACAAAGTACCTCTATTTTCTTCCTAAAAAGTTGTCACCTTTCATACATAGACCAATTTATTATGTAGTTTAATACTTTAATATATTAAAGTTTAAATAAGAAATATTTTAGCATTTCACTCAGCTACTTAGGTCACGGCAAACTAAAAATATATCACAACTAAATCACATAAAATATTACAGATATAGGTCACGGTAACCTTAAAATATGTCGCAACTATGTCACATAAAATGTGATAAATGTAGGTCAGGCTATCCTCGAAATGTGTCACAACAATATCACTTGAAATTCGACAAAAATTAAATCATAATAACCTTATAATATATCTCAATTTTGTTACTTGTAATATTACAAATATAGGTCACGGTTTCCTTATAATATGTCATAACACTATCACATGAAATGTTACAAATATACATTGTAGGTCACGATAACATTAAAAGAGATCGTCGGATGAGGTGTCGAGGTGACATTTCTTTCGCAACCACTGAAATGTCACAACTTTCAACGTGTACTGGAGATATAATTTATCTGTTGGGAAATCCGATTCAATTTGTTCCGGATGCTGTACGTAGTACTTAGAAGATGACACAACCTAGCAAATTTTAAACACATCATACGACTAACTTAGTACAGAGAAACATCACCGAAAACTGTCATCTGTCAATCATTCTGAGAAAGAGGGAATGGAGTGAAAAAGACCCAAAGGGCCTTTATCTGACTCACAGAACGGGCAGTCCGATGTCTTCGTATTTGTATCAATAATAGGTATTGATAATAGATACCGTTTGTGTTAAGAATGCACAACAGTAACACATTCAACAGGAAAAGTAGTTGTTTACCTTCAGCATAAACTATATGCATTTATGCAGGAATTTGTTTTTAATTTGTTGAACAAGTATAGTTGATATATTTGTATATGTACACCGACAGTTTTCGCCGCAGTTTCACTTTCGCCGTCCATAGAGAGGGAAAATTTATCATGATAGTGAATACAGTACACAGCATACATTACACAGTAATAACAGGCGAAGGGAGAAAGGCATCCTCGATTATCCAGGGGTTACGCTCACTTTCGCTCTCTGCACGAACGCGAGCGTAACTCCTGGAGTATCGAGGATGGTAAAAGGGATGAGTACCATATTTAGCTATTGTACAGCACCTCAATGATAAGTCTTTTGTGGAATCCATCCTTTAGGCGAATATATTTTCTACCGCTAAATGACGCCCTTTCACTGAGTAAATATTTCCTGGTAAAGAGTATGTACGAAATGTCCATGTCGAAATACTAATATAGTTAGCCATGAATATTTATCATGAATTATCTCGATCATTCAGTCACTTCTTCTCTGACTATCAATTCTTTTAAAAAGAAAATTAATAAAATTCAAACACCTCCAAGGGACATTTCGGAAGACTTTTATCACCTGTAATCCAAGGAAACTAAATATATTATTGTGTCAATTACGTAATAATGCTAGCAATTTAAATTTTGATTAATTCAATGATCACATGATAGTTGATCCATCTTGTTCTTGTGGCGCATCTTGTGAAAATGCTGAACATTATTTCTTCTTCTGTCCACTTTATACTAACTACAGACATTACTAATCATTTTGGATATTCATCTGTTGATCTACTTACATCTAGTAATGCTTATCTTTCTACTGATGATAATTTATTTATTCTCTCAAAAGTTCATCAATACATTTCTGCTACTAACAGATTTAATTAAAATTAGGACTGTTTTCTTTGCCTCTTATACTTATATTTATTTATATGTATATATATATATATATATTTAATTTTATTTAATTTTTATAATTATATAATTAATAGGCTTTTGAGTAAGGGCTTGTGTGTGTGTGTGTGTGTGTATGTGTGTGTGTGTGTGTGTGTGTGTGTGAATACTTATTTATTATGTGTGTATGTGAGTGTGTATGTGTGTTATGGAATGGTTGTAAGTGTATATGAGTGTGTCTTGTTGATATATGGACTAAATCTATGCTTCTTGTCAATCAATACCGGATAGGAGAAGACTTGTATAGGCTAAGCCTGTTGTCTCATCCAATTTTGCAACTATTTTGTCCAATAAATTTTGTTGAAATCGAATATTTATCAGTCAGAACAATCAAGAAACATCCTCGAAATTCAGGGGTTACGCTCACTTCTCGTTCCCAGCGGCCCTAGAATATGTCACGACAAAATCACACGTATACGGGTTTTAATTGGTTGCAAGTAAAAAAAACAACGTATACCTGTCATTTGAAGATTACAGAGGAGCAACACCTGACCACAAAGCCAGTCAATTTTAATGTACATCAAAGGATCAAACTTCTAAAAGTCTACTTGCATTCTCAACATGTTGGCGCGTACATGAACATAACCTTAAATTACGCCATAACCTATCCCTTAACATCCTTGATATCCAGGGGTAACGCTCACTTCGCTTTCTGCACCCCTGGAATATGTCATAGCAAAATCGAAGACATGTGACTAGCTATCTGATTAGTCTCGGGTAAAAACAAACTGATCAATCGCTAAGGCTGATACCTGTCCTTTTAAGCGATCAGAGACACCAGAGTTTTAAAGTCAGACAATGTATTGTAACACTGTCACACGATTCTTTTGATGTACATCAAAGGATCAAACTTGTCTTCTCCTCTCATCCACAAGGCGGTGCACATGGAGTCTTCAATTTTGCTATGAAATACTCCAGGGGTGCAGAGAGCGAAAGTGAGCGTGGCCCCTTGAATATGGCGGATGATCCGCGAGGTGCAGCGAAAGTCAGTGATGCGTAACCCCCGGAATGTAGACGATAGACCAGATCGTGTTCTATGCTTTTCTTGGAAAATGAAATGGTTTCAACAAGATTTTCCCAGTAAGGACCGCGTTGGTTAATCCAAGTATATACATCCCACACTTACATTTTAAGTGTGTGTATGTAAAAGCATTTGATCATTTCCTGACATATAACTAGTAAGTGTACATGGAAATGGTTAACAAACTGTCACGATACATTCAACTTTTAACATGTTTGCCTAACAAAACGAAAGCGGATGTTTAAGTACAATGTAATCATGGGGAAAACACATAGTTGTTTTATTTATGTAAACAATAATCAGGCAAATTCAAATAAATTGTTTCCACCCAAACAAATTACTTGAAAAGGATAGAATCGTATCTATTTCATTTGTTTCAAATTATAGTCTCACCGTTTTTCTTCTATATATACAGGGCATGAGAAACTATTTTTTTTGCTAGGTTATTTCTAATTCTTTTAAATTTGGCCATTTTGAGGGGAATTAGAACTGCTGAAAATATTCCTTATACATTGTTATGTTGCAAAAAAAAACACCATATCTAATATCATATATCCGGGTCAAATTGGAATTCTTTTTCGTATGAGACAACAAAGAGCGCTGAGACTCTCCACCTTAACACTAACGACAAAAATAAAATCCTTGAGTGTTATCCGGAATCGGGAAAAAAAAGTTATTTTGAGCTAGAATCGATGTCCCTGTGTATCGTTTATTGTGTTAACGAAAACGGAATAGTAAATAATGACAGTAATTTTACAAGGACAGTAATATTACTTGTACTGTCAGAACTGTAATTATTTAGCAGTCCTTGTATTACAGCGACTATATAGTCAGCTTGTAGCTAATCCTGGCTGCAAAGATTTTTTCTCAAACCCATACAACCTGCAGCTCTATAACATAGAACTACAGCGACATGTCATCAGTCGTTTATGGTACGTTCTTTTCCCATTGGATTTTATGTTATTCAAGTTCTTAAAAGAAATTTTCCTGACATAGTTGTCAGTTAATAATTGACGAAATTTTCCACTGTGTTAGAAAATTATACAGCGTTTCTATTGGTAATGTTAACATAATTAACCTTTTCCTAGAATTCTTATCATGATTGGCCACACCAATCATTTTACGTTTTTTTTAAATTGTGTCTATGTGAATGACGTCAACGTATAACAATCATGCTTGGAATAACTGAGCCATGGATGATAAGACAAATATTTCCAGAAGAAACCTTGGATATTTTCTAAAAGAAAGTAAAGTTTTATCAAAACTGAATGTCAAACGAAGGCAGGAAATATAAAAAAAAAAGATACGTAGAATCCAAAAGGAAAATGACGCAACGTGAAAGCCTTATGGCACGTCACTGTATAGTGTACAGTATACATACATGCTATACAGTAAAAATAATAAGTAATACATCGCATTACGGTATTGAAAATATTTAACCAATTGTCAGCAGTAATTGTTTACAAATTCTTGACGGTTTAGATTGTTACGGAAGAGTTAATATTATGAAACGTGTGAGTAAGGGCGATAGGTGTGTGCGACCACACCTCTGCAGTTACAAAGCATCAATGCTAAACCATCTTGACCTTTGTTGTGCATGCGTTGTAGTATTGGAGTGTTTATTTGACAACAGGGAAGTGATGTGGCACCCTTCCCTCTACCATGCACAGACCACACCACTTGGCTCTCAGATAGGCTCAAATATCGTCTTAGGAGACTGCTTAAAATTCATGACCATCGTATGGCTGACAATTTATTTGTCTGTGCCATTGACATTACCATTTTTACCCCTATATAACTTTTGTAGACTCAACCATGCATTGATCTGGACGAGTCCATTAAGGTCTACAGTGGTGAAAGGGTTAAACATTATTAACTTCTGACAATTTGACCTGTTCTTCTGGCTGACAACAAATATCACATTTCTTGTATGGCAATGGCAAGCCATCATAACATTTAGGAGATAGCTTGTAAATTAAAAGAGATATCTCTATTAGTTTAGGAAATATAAATTAAAATTATTCTTTTTCAAGATATTATCAACATGGTCTTTTCCAGTTTATTACCAACATATTTCTTTTAAATAAACTATCAGCATATCATATTACTGTATACCATCTTAATATCATCAACTTTCAATCTTACAACAGGTGAGTATTAAATAATATCACAGTATACTAACAGTTTATATACATTTTCATTCGAGTCATTTACAAGACATCTTAATATTTCTGCATACTTACAACACAGGAGGAGTAGCCCTGCCACAACGCCTGCATAGTTACAGCCATGACATTGACAACACAGCGCAAGCGTGGCCACGATGAGCGCCAGGAGAGCCAAGCCCAGTCCCACTGACATCAGACCCTGTGTGGCCTTGAACCATTCTAAAAATGAAACAGAAAAAGCAAGGTCACTTACAGATATACATTTTGATGGTCTTGAACTACCGTGCGACATAGGCGAAGAAGTCAAGAACTTACGTAACTTCCTGATGGCGATGAATTTAGCTAAAAGTGATAAAGGAAGGTCAATGTCAGATATTGAGCTTGTTTGAGCTTTAATATATTTTCAACCGATAGCGAAACCAATGTCAAATAACAGAAGCAAAGTCATGTTTAAAGAGAATGTGTAGAAAAAAAAAGATCGAAGTGAGAAACCAATATTGGGAGGTCCTGAACTACCCGGTAATAGGGAAACCTTCATAAATGACGGATGCCTATTATTGCGACGCTAAAATACTCGTGAACAGTCGAGCAAAAATACCAACGACCGCAGAGAGCATTATTTCCGTATCCGGTTGCAGTAAAGCAAGGTGGAGGACGTTATATTTTGGGTCGACCGTAATTTTTTTTCTCTTACAGCGACACCAATGTCAAAAATGTAGCGGCGACATTTGCTGAAGGGGTTCACGAAGTATTGTGGATTTGTATGGCGAAGTCATGTGTAAATCTTAGACCTGCAATGTCTAGCATTGACCTTGACCAATGACCATGTCGTGAGGTCAAAGAACCGACAAGGGTGGTTTTAGGGAGTGGGAGGGTAGAAAGGGGTATGTAAGGGGCAAATTGTCTGGTCGCTTGTTATTCACTCGGCTAAGGGGAGCTTTCTTCAGCTGAAGCGGTATACCTCTGGGTTAGTTAGCTGTAGTTCTCCGCCCGATTCCTAGCAGAGGCACTCGTTGAAACAAATGACAACTGTTACATTATTATACTGATATGTCAAGATTAATAATGGCATCAGTACATTAAAATCCCGAAGAAGAGTTCCAAATTATCGCTGTATTTTCGACTTGGAGTATGCTCCTTTATATGAAATAATATTATAGAAGATGAAGCAACGAATGTTTTATTTCTGGCCTAGAGTTACTTCCCTTGAAAAGTTATTCTTATTTCGTTTTGATGCTTTGCATGTATTATTCCTTGATAACAACACTGGTAAAGTGTATGATTGACATTTTATAGATACAGGGTTCGGTCCCTTTATCTTTATTTATTTATTTATTTATCTTTTATTCATTTCAAATACCGTAAAACGCATCTCGAGAAGAGATTAATATATGTAGAAAAAGACTTAAACAAATATTTCATCATAATAAGAATAGTAGTAATATCATTTAACTTGATTATACTCTTTATCTTAAAACTGGGCAAACACATGTACGATGTGTATAGAGAAACTTGTTTCTATAATCCTTGTAACCTAGATAACAAATGCGACGAATCTGATAAGATATAACGTAAACTGTACACCAAGATATAATCAACGTACTAGGTCCTTCACAAAATGGGAGTTTCGTGAGATTCGTATCGTTTAATTTTGGCACTGGGTCAGACATTTTTACTTCGTCCATAATCCCGTATTATAAGTCTATGCCTGGTGAATGTAAGAGAGCCTTGTGGATTAGTCACACTTTCGTATTGTAACAGAGAGAGGTTGGACTCGCGCCAAAACCCGATTGTACGTAGGAGGAAGTGAAGGGGGAGGTAAAACCAATATGGGTTCACAAAGATAGCATTATAAGTCAAGTCCGAAATATCTGGAGTTAAATGTAGGTGTGTCTTGTACTTATATATGAATAAAATATGTAATTCGCCAAAAGGAATAAGCAAGAGTCGGTATGTGTTAATAGTGTTAGATTACAGCTTGATTTCAAAATGTATAGCTCAAAGGTAAGGGAGATACCGATATGTTAAACTGCATTATTACTATTGCTGCTCTCGTGAAATGTTTTTTCATGTCCTTTCCAAGAAATATATTTCAAAGAAATTACATGTTTCGATGTATTTTATAAAATTAACGTTATTTGAACGCTAATTGTTTATAAATTGATATTAAAAAAAAACAAAAAAACAAAAACGCATGGGTTTGCATAAAAAACAAGAGGCCCATGGGCCTTAACGGTCACCTGAGTCTACAGTATTTATTTTTGTTGTTGAAATATGTACCAATTTGAGTAAAAAATAGTATAATGTTAACTTAACTTTGTCAGGACCATGAGCTGATCATTCCTAGACCAATTTTAAGTGAGATCGGCCTATTAGAACTTAGTAGCAAAATAGCGGCCATGGCAGCCAAATTGTATTTCTGATTGACCCGAAAAATAACAACACTTTGTCAGGACCATGATTCGATCATTCCTACAAAGTTTCAGTTCAATCGGCCAAGTAGATCTTTACTTTAAGTTTGAAATAGTTTACCAAAATGGCAGCTGTGGTGGCCATATTGGATTTCTGATCGACCTGAAAAATAACAACACTTTGTCAGGACCATGAGTCAATCATTCCTACAAAGTTTCAGTTCAATCGGCCTAGCAGAACTTGACTTTAAGTTTGAAATATGTTTTCAAAATGGTGGCCGTGGCGGCCATATTGGATTTATGATTGACCTGAAAAATAACAACACTTTGTCAGGACCATGAGTCGATCATTCCTACAAACTTTAAGTTCAATCGGTCCAGCAGAACTTGACTTTAAGTTTGAAATAGGTTTTCAAAATGGCGGCCGTGGTGGCCATATTGGATTTCTGATCGACCCAAAAAATAACAACACTTTGTCAGGACCATGAGGCGATCATTCCTACCAACTTTCAGTTCAATCGGTCCAGCAGAACTTGACTTTAAGTTTGAAATAGGTTTTCAAAATGGTGGCTGTGGCGGCCATATTGGATTTCTGATCGACCCGAAAAATAACAACACTTTGTCAGGACCATGAGACGATCATTCCTACCAACTTTCAGTTCAATCGGTCCAGCAGAACTTGACTTTAAGTTTGAAATAGGTTTTCAAAATGGCGGCCGTGGCGGCCATATTGGATTTCTGATCGACCCGAAAAATAACAACACTTTGTCAGGACCATGAGGCGATCATTCCTACCAACTTTCAGTTCAATCGGTCCAGCAGAACTTGACTTTAAGTTTGAAATAGGTTTTCAAAATGGCGGCCGTGGCGGCCATATTGGATTTCTGATCGACCCAAAAAATAACAACACTTTGTCAGGACCATGAGGCGATCATTCCTACCAACTTTCAGTTCAATCGGCCCAGCAGAACTTGACTTTAAGTTGGAAATGTAAAATGTTAACGGACGACGGACGACGACGGACAAAAACGGATAGCAATAGGTCACTTGAGCTAAAGCTCAGGTGACCTAAAAACCTTCATCTTAGTAAGGTTGCCATGTAGGAATTTTAAATGCAGGATATCAAAATAAGTGTCCCATTTTCCGGCAGAAAAGCTTATATGAAAGTTGACAGGGGAAGCTACTCTGAGCCAGAACGAGGGGTCCAAAGGGCCTGCATTGCTCACCTGTTATTGATATCACATTTGTAACCATATAGAGGACTAAGATAAAGATACAGACACAGTACCATTGCCTTGACTAAAAGTCATTCAATAGAACCTGCTAAAAGAGTTTGACTCCTGTGACAACAAGTCAACAAGTCAAAAACAAGAGGCCCCTGAAGGCCTGTATCGCTCACCTGAATATATGTTTAAAATAATTGGTATGAAGTAAAGATATAGCACTCCATGGTAGGTGCTGTATTTCAGAAAGGTCCATACTTGTACTCCGTACTTGAGATATAGCAAGAACAAACTTCAAACAGAGCCCCACCAATTATACAAAATTGAGTCCCCTTGACCCAAGGATGCTCCGGACTAAATTAGGATACAATCCCTTAATCCCTATGGTAGAAGAAAGGTTTCAAAAGATTTACCTCTATTTCCCCTATTGGGCCCCGCCTCTCTGCCTCTAGGGGGGTCAGACACACTGTTTATACAAAATGGGTCCCCCCTTCACCCAAGGGTGCTTCATACCAAATTTTGACAAAATCCTGCCATTGAAGAATTTGCTATGTTTCCCCTATTGGGTCCCTCCCTTATGCCCCCAGGGGGGCCACACTCACTGTTTATACGAAATTAGGTCTCTTTTGCCCAAGGATATATGCTCCAGACTAAATTAGGATAATATCCCTTAATCCCTATGGTAGAAGAAGGACTATAAAGGTTTTACCTCTATTTCCCTATTGGGCCCCGCCTCTCAGGTCCCAGGGGGGCCACACCCACCGTTTATACAAAATTGGTTCCCCTTTACCCAAGGATGCTCCACCCACACCAAATATGGACCAAATCCTTTCATTCCTACAGTAGAAGAAGGATTTTGAAGAAAATTTGCTATGTTACCCCTATTGGGCCCCACCCTTCAGGCCCCTGGGGGCCAGACTCACGGTTTATACAAAATTGGTTCCCCTTTACCCAAGGACGCTTCAGACCAAATATGGAACAAATCCTTTCATTCCTACAGAAGAAGAAGGATTTTAAATAATTTGCTATATTTCCCCTATTGGGCCCCGCCCCTCAGCCCTCAGGGGACCACATCCACCGTTTATACAAAATTGGTTTCTCTTTATCCAAGGATGCTCCACACCAAATATGGACCAAATCTTTTCATTCCTACAGATGAGGAAGGATTTTAAAGAATATTTTGCTATATTTCCCCTATTGGACCACGCCCCTCAGCCCCCAGGGGGGCCAACCCACCATTTATATAGAATTTGTTCCCCTTCTTCCAAGGATGCTTCTGACCAAATTTGGTCAAAATCTGCTCAGTCGTTCATGACTAGTAGCGTATTAAAGGAAAAGTTAACGGACGGACGGACGGACGACGGACGACGGACGATGGACGCTGCGGTATGGCATAAACTCACCATGGTCCTTCGGACCAGGTGAGCTAAAAAGGACATTAAGTTGAACAAACTTAATAGCAAGAAGTTACCAGCTAAAAATGATGATTCTAGGCCTTTCGGTTCTTTAGAACAAGCTGTTTGAAGTGTTTGGCATATTTGACCTATGTGACCTCGAAAGTAAGTCAAGGTCTTTTTCATTCTCA